ATTCGAACCCACAAGTGTCACTGGCAGGGTGATACATAACCCCGTAGATAGCCTGGGCTAATTCAGATTGTCTTCCCAAAAAAATCGAAGTTGGCAGCCGCCTGTGGGGACGAAGCAGTAGTTATAGCACTGCTTGCCTACTCTGGGGAGGTAGTTAGAAGCGATGGTGCCAACTTTATTTGTACGTTCTTTTGTTTTTATGGTTCTGGTTTAAGGTCGCGAGATCGGGCTGTGACAGGTGAGACTTTATTGGATGACTGACGCAAATGACAGTTCAAACAGATTCCGACAACGTTCACCTGCTGCCCCACAGCAAAGTAGGTGCAGGGACGATAACTGATGTGTAAATTAGCGCAGCATCTACCACACTCTAATTCCTTCCCCCTCCTCTTAATAACGCCTACTGTGCTTTGATTTGACTCCCGAGTTTATCCACCATGCCTACCGCTTGGCTTGTTTTAGCGTAAAGACTGACGGACATACCTAGTATCGTAACATCCCTTGGGCTCGTAACCTTTTCATGGGTAGTTGGTTTGCCTTATCGGTGCCTGATGTTAGTACTTGCCTATCAGGCTTACCTGTCTAACCCGAGCACTGCCTTATTTCGCCACTAGCATTCTTTTAAGATTGCTTTTCTATCTGCTACCTATGACCAGGCTCTGCAGCCCACGACCCCATTCATTTCGGGGATTCTGTTGTTCGGGCGTGATTACTTTTAAGTTGAATAAACTTGGTTTGTGGACCTTTTTCAGTCATGCGGAATCGTGGAACTCGGGAGGGTCCCCATCATTTCCCCTCTCGCCTTCGTCCCATCCTTCGTCCCAGTCAACGAAACATGTGAACCCTACCTTCTAACCACGAGCTCGATTGCTCTGGTCGGTTGGTAGATGGTCGGTTGTGACAATGCCTCCACGCAAACTCCAAATACTTACTGCAAGTAGCTCCTCTTTGTTTGAATTGAGTAAATAAGGGTCGGCGAAGCGAATGCATTATTATATTTGACCGGAGACATGTGGCATTAAGTCGCATGGTACATACCCCTGCATTTTATGCTTCCTGGAAAATCTTTTTCTTTTCCTTCTGATTTGCAAATATTGTCATGCCATTTTCATATCTTTATCTGGATTTTTATTGTCACTTAAAACAATGTTGTTTCATATTTTGTACACTTTTCTATTAAAAACACTTTTTTTACTGTTTTATCCTTTCTTGACAACTTTTTTCAGGCCGACTTAGTTTGTGGTTTTGGAAAACTGCACTTGGGAAGTGAATAATTTGGAGGAGACAGTGTAGTAGGTGCAGCGCAATTTTGCAAGTGGGCCCGCTAGCGTCTGGCGGCAGTGGGCATCGTCACTTGCGATGGTTAAACTGTTATGTATGACCTAATTGGTGGATAAGAAGTCACCACCGTCACCAAGAAAACAAATGATCATCTCTGAGCTCCTATTCTGTGACCTTAGAATGCATTGACGGGTTTCGGGTGAAGAAAGACTTAAATAGTCCATCCTGCTTTATTTGAAACCTTCAACTAGGCGCACTCCTCTGTCGTACACTTCTCAATGAGAGTATACATCTGGAATGTAATTGCACGGGCGTCGGACCGTTTTTTTTGAACATCTTTTTGGTGAAGTTCGATGCTGATAAGAAGTAAGGGGCGGCTTGTGTTAGTTTAACTGGCATTCTTACTCATTACGATCCTCAGAATTTAAAGCTATCGAGGTACTTGAAAAACGTCTCCCAAAGGCGCTTCAGAGCCAGTGTTGTACACCGCTGACAACCGCATGGCCTGCGTATCCAACTCCCAGGCTACAATGCCGAGGTCTGTGTCGTCAGGACAAAAAAGGAATGTTGTCCTCAGTTATTACCGTTTGCGCATCACTATGTTTATATCTCCATCTCACTGAGAAACATCCATGAGTAAAGCTGACTGCTGTTTTTTGCGCATAGTGTAGTGAGTGTGGTTGCTGGGTGGTAAACTAAGATTTCTTTCAGCTCCGCTCTCGTTTCACAGTAGTATAAACAGCTCGTGAGCATGTACTGTCAAGACTGGTATCACAGGCCGGACAACGACAGTTCCAGTCTTTTTTCACATGTCACTTTCACCTGCACCGATAGCCGTTATCTTCTTAGTTCAACTTATCTTTATTCCCATCCTCTACAAGGTCAGAAAACGGTAACTGCATAAAGAAGTACAGGCACGATTTTGGATTACTTTGCATTGTCCTACTAACAGAAACTGATGTTTGTGGGCTACACAAATCGGAAGAAAAGTATTGTCCTTTGGGATGCGACAGGGGGGCGGGGGGGCTAACTGGCGGAGTTGGTTGGAGTTCAGGCGTTGCCGGATTTCATGCAGGGCACCTTGATCACTTGTGGGCCCCGAACAGTGGTGGACTGCACCACCAGTGCGAAGCTCTCGAAGCCCACACAGGCTGCGCCGTACTGTCCGTCGGCACGCAGGGCGACTAGTCCGCCGGACCATTGCCCTCTCTGTGTAAAGACAAAAGCGTCGTGTATTTTACTCAAATTTGC